TTCATAATTATTGGAAAGTAATCATCTCAAGAGTCATGATCTCTAAAGGTCGTGATTTTTCATGTGAAAAGACATATTTTTTCATCTACACATTTTTCTAGAACATTCCACAATATTCTACACGATTTTCCAACAATTTCACGTGTTTATTAGGCTTAATTTCTCATTCACCAAAAAACGAATTCCACTTAAATAATCACTTAAATTGGCCACAACCAATTTCGAATTTCCAACAAAAACATCTATGTTGGTGAAGAAAGATTGTCGGCAATGTGGACATATTTGAATTATAAGTTTGTGTTAGTTTTTGATTGGTTTTTAATTTTAATTTTTCATTTTTAGTCCCAACATTGTTGGTTGATGACTTTGTCCCTGTATTGTCATGCAAAGTTGATGCTTACATATAAATATTTTTTTTTTATAAAGAGATGTAAGTAGGTCAATTCATACACACACAAATGGTGTCATACGTGTTCTCCAAAAAGAGCACAAGCAAATAGATTTAGGGCCGTGTAATAAAGTTTTTGATAAAGTCTGTTGAAAATTATGAATTCCATAAACGTGTGGTTAAAGTTAAAGTTTGATCGACTGAAAAGTTGATAAAAATTTTATTAAAGAAAGTGTTAGATTTCAATTTCAGAAATATATATAAAAGCTAACTTATCGTTCTCAATGTTGCACGACTTCAAACCTCTCTTTCAACCACCTTCAAAAATCAACTAACAAAGTAAAAATATATTTCTATATTTTAGGCTTGCAAGGAATTTTGTGGGCATAATTTAATATTCAAATTAAACGCCCAATAATAATTATTATTCTTTTCATTTAGTTAGTTTATTAATCTTTAAAAAAATTGGACCAAAAAAAAAAAAAGACCTGCGTCTTTCGACACATAGGCCTGTATTACATAGTTAAGAATAGAGTTGACTGCCTAATTTCATGTTATCCACATATGTAAGGCTTTTTCTTGTGGTCTCGTGTGTAGGCCTACATGATTCCCCTATAACGTTGATAGAAACACTTTTGATATTCGACCATGAGTTTTGATGCAACAACTATAGTGTACTAATTTCTATGCCCTAGCTAGAAATAGTGAACTTTTAATACATCAAATGATCTTATATTTGAATATATTATATGTAATTCACATCTTTACTCATTGAACACTTGAAATTTGTTTGCCCTTGCTCCAATTTGTGTGGGCTCAAAAGAACTTTTCTATGTGATGCATCCCACTATTGTGTTGTAGGCTTGTAATGGAGCAAACTCTTATTTTCTAACCTAAAACTACTCACCTTTGTCCCCCCTTAACTTTTACTCAAATGGATAAAATAATTGGTGGCAAGATTCGACTATTTTTTACCTCTTTGTGTAGTCAATATTTATTCTATAAATGTTGTGGGTGCATATATGACATGTGGCAACAACATATTGGTTAGTCGGCTGAAAAATTGAGATCCACTGTGTGACAATCTCAAACACTCACAATCTTCGATTTACATGATTTCAAGTACAACGTATGGAGATAATTGGACCTATTAACTGTGAATTAGTGAAAGTATACATAAATAAGTTATTAGTATACACTATTATTTTGTCTTTTAACGTTGAGGTTGCGTGTATATACGGGCAGACCTAGGGCGTCCTGGGGGCAAGTCCCCCCAACTTTTGAGATTTTTTTTTTATATATAAAATCGTGATTAGTATCGATTGAAATCTAAATCAAAGTTAATAATTAATTTTAATAACATATTTCATGAAATTCATAACTGTTTAATTTTTATCAAAATTTAATTAAAAAATTGATTTTAATCTCCACCAAATAGGAGCAAAATCACAATAAATTTGAATTTCGATAACACGCTAATTTTAAAAATTCTCCGACGATCGTACACTAATCGAATCTACAAATTGTTTATATCATCTCAGAACTTATTTCGAGAATTACATTATGGGCATATTGAATAATCCAAATAGATATCGAAAATAGTTAAAAATATGTTAAATGTGAGTCTTAAAAAAAAATCATTAACATTTATTATTTTTGCGATACAAATTTTTCGATGTAATTTTCATCATTTTATATGGAATATGACATCAAATTTTTTTGAAATTTTACATCCGGAAAAATCATATCCCATGTAAATTATCGGATGTAAAATTACATGGGGTATGATTTTTTTTGACATAAATTTTCNAACTACATTACAGACATATCAAATAATCCAAACAAATATCGAAAATAGTTAAAAATACGTTAAACGTGAGTTTTAAATAAAGACGTTTAACTCACATTTTCTTTAAAAAAATTCAATTATTTCTTTAACATTTATTATTTTTGCAATACAAATTTCTTAATGTAATTTTCATCATTTTATTAGGAAATTTTATATGGAATATGACATAAAAAAAATTCGAAATTTTATAACTGAAAAGGTCATATCCCATGTAAATTTTTGAATATAAAATTATATGGGGTATGATTTTTTTGAACGTAAATCTTCGATTGTAAAATTTCTCCCAATTTCTTTGCAAGTTAAACTGTGTCCTCCTAACTTTTAACTTCCGCGTCCGCCCATGCGTATATAGTGAAGAGCGTATAATTTGATGTGCCAAACATAACTTAAATGGTGAAAGGGTTATCCATTTGAGGGTGCATTTGTTTACACTACACTATATTAGGGTGGATATGATTAAGTTGGATTAAGATGTAAAGTTACTATATTGCGTGTGGTCTCGGAAAAATATAAAAGTATTTAAAAAAAAAAAAAATATATCAATTTTTTTGTCTAACCTTAAACAAGATATTCTTAGGTGTTTTTTTTTTTTTTTGCTCTCCAAATACGCTTAGATAACTTGCTCTTTTCTTACTTTAAATAAAATAGTTATGTTTATTAAAAGTTAATATTGTGTTACTATTAAATTTAACAACTTACTTTTTTTTTTTTAACTTTAATTAGTAAAAAAATTTATTCCCTTCAAAATTATTTGTTTTACTTACATGGAAAATGAGTTATTTTTCGTAAAAGTAAAGTAATTTCATGTTTGGATAACTTATTTTTCTTATTTTTTAAGAAAACCTAAATTTTAATTTTAATTAATCTACTCCGATGTAACAACGGACAAATTTCATGTTTGAAAAACTTTAATTTCACTAAAATGAGAATTATATCTTAAAACAAGATATCGTTAACATGTTCTGTATGTAAAATTAATCCAATCTGATGTAACAACAGACAAATTTTACGATGTAGCTCTTCTCTTTAGCTATATCTTATACTGCATAATACACTAAACGCATATTATTTAATCCGTCGATTCCTCGATACACTATATTAGTTAATGAGTCAACATCGGCCGATGCAATATTAATCATCCTAAACTTGAATGGTAATATTTTCAACCAATGAACCCTAATTACTCCCACTTAATTTTGTTATTTTCTACGCATCAAAATGTCAAAAAGGGCATTAGTAGGTAACTTAGCACTCATTTTTTTATATATTTACACACCGACACACTTCTACATATAAAACCCATTTAAGATAAATTAAGGAAAAACCGACGTAAATACTTGAAACTAAAGAAAAAGACGACTTAGATGGTAGGAACGCATTTTTCAACCTAAAGAGATACCCAATTTTTATTTTTATTTTTTATTTTTTATTTTTAAAAAAGGCTTGTTGTTGTGATTACTAAGAGTTTATTACTTATTTTAGGTATTTCGATAAATCGATGATAGATAAAAAAAGAAGAATTTTGCTAAAGGTACCCGGGTGTTTACAAGCCCGGGTACCCGACCCCACAGCCCCCCTCACAATGAGGGGGGTCCGCCCATGAATAAAAAAATGCTGGGCCCCCCCTTTGTGAGGGGGGGCTAAACCCACGACCCAAAAAAGAATTCACGTAGCTGACCTCTAATTTATTGAGAATCAAGTTTAGTTTTTTATTGGCACATATAAATGTATGGTATAGACATACACACTATGGGGGTTTTTCCCACTACTTTCTAATCCTCCAATTATCTCTCCTAATCTTGATTGTTACTGTGTAGACATTTAGCACTAATTAAGCTTTAATTTCCACTTTCTACAAGTGCAATTATTACTATTGTCACATTTCAATTTCTTTAATGAGACGGCAAGCAAATAAATATTAGTTATTAAAACTTCAATATATATTTATAAATTGAAAAAAAAAAAAACACCCTTAACATTTTTGGAACAATTTTAAAAATACAAGGTTTATGTTCTCTTTACCATTTTCAAGCCGTTTTCTGTTTTCAATTTCGATTTTTAAACCCTCAAGTTGTTTTTGTTGTTTTCAGTTATAATCAAGCCAAAATTTTCAAAACGCGTTTTGGGTGTTTTCAAAATGCCAAAAAGAATACATTTTCAACAATCTCAAAACAAACACTCAAACACACGAAACTCAAAATAAATTCAAAACACAAAACACAAAACTGAAATATAAAGAGAACAGTCCCTAAGAGACTTGATGCTATATATATATATATTTTATTATTATTATTATTATTATTATTATTTAAAAGTATATCGAGAAAGATTGTAATCCTTTTACGAAGACAAACATTCATATAAATAGAGATAAGTTTTGTTCGAATAAATGCGAGTCTAACAAGTGCTTTGTCATGACTCTTTAAATTCGTTTTTATTCTATTTATCAATGCCTCTTGAGAAGTTAGACTCGACTCGACTTTCAAATGCTTTGTAATTT